ATGAAATGTGTAACAAAATGTGCTTATATTAGTCGATATGAGTTATTTCGATTTGTTTTCAGCTTCTTAAATGTGAGAATTTGAAGCTTTTTTCATTGTAAACTGAATATCTGTGGGTTTTGGAGTCTAGGTAGGACAAAATAAGACATTCGATGTCACGTTGGGCTGTACAAAACAGGCATTTTTCTGACATTTTATGCCAAGGCTTTTTTAAGGCCTGGACTTTCAAGTATTCATATGAAAGCAGGAAACTTGCTGCCATAGCTTGCTTTGTGTTAAACTAATCTTGCCAATTCCAAAAAAAAATAATAATAATCCTTTTCAAAGGGTCCATGAGCTGCTCTGTATATTCGTCTTCACCCTCCAATTCCAGCTGGGGTAGTTATCATGTTCCAGGCAGGTGTTGGCAAGTATCTGCTCTGCCCTTGAGCCAAACAATGAATCCCTTCCAGCTATTGGTTCGGTGGTAGCTGACGGATCAATCTGACCTGCCTTGGAGGAGGAAAACAAAGATAAAACTACTAAAAACTATAGAGAGAGATTAATACAATATAATACAAAAATACACAAACAGTAGGAAATGAAGCAGAAAAGGTTTTCTGTGAACTTATAGTATTTCAAATACTTGTATTCATTTTTCTGTGATTCACACTAAAGAAAAGGCCTCTGCCAGCACTGAATAAAAGAACACACATCTTTGTAATTAATATTTCACAGCCATGTTGGCTTAAGAAAGAGATTTTTTTTGTTGCCTGTAGTGGATCATCTCAAACAGTCTGTTCCAAATCACAATGCTTTGATTGAAGCTGAAAGAAAAGTCAAGCTTACTTTGTCCTCATTTCTATCTCTGTCTGTCAGAGAGGAGCCGCACTAAGACAATAGCACCACGCCTTTCCAATCAGATAGAGGAAGGAGCCTTGGCATATGCATGTTAGTATTTTGTGATGAGATGTCATTTAAACTCCTCACCTTCCTCTCTCATTGTTTTCTGTGTGGTTATAACTGGTGCAACTGGGAGTCCTCTCGAGGTTTGCATGCGATATGCTGTTGTAGGTCATGTTATCATCCTGGAGGCAGTGGGATGTTGTCCGCAATAAGAATAAGTTACTATAATTAGCAGCAAGGCAGATTTTCCTTGTGGTATTCACGGATCTGCTGTTCAGGAATGCTCTTGTGTTGAACTGAATAGACTTGGATATAAAAGACATTTAAGATCCACTCTCGCTGAGTCTGTCTGAACTGTTTTGGGTGTATTTATAAGATGTGGTGTGACACTTTTCTTTATCTTTGTTGCTTTAAATGCCACCCAAGACACATTATTTCTGCTTTATCATCTTTCACCTCATCCAGGGTCACTGCTTTCTCACTTTTGTGTTGCAATCTGAAGTGTGGACAAAAGCCATGGTGTCATTATGTGATGGCTGGCTGATTTAACCAATGTGGCACTGATAGTGGCTCTGGGCAAAGCCGGTCAGTATTGTATCATCTCAGCCAAGAGACCGTAAGAGCCCTCCAACAGAGATCCCTATCAGCTCTGAGACACATCTCACTGTTTGTGCTTTTCAGGCGAAATATCGAAGGTCCGTACAGGCCAAAAAAGACCATGTGCAGGTGGCGTCTGGGGTCGGCACCGTTTCAGCTCCAGGCCCTGGTGGTCACTCCTTTTTTTTTTTTTTTTCCTGTTATTATCCTCTTTGGGTAAATCCTCCATCCTCATAATCCTCCTAGTAGCTCAAGCTGGTAGAGCTGGCACTGTCTGCCTGGTTGCCCCCTCCCTCATTCAAACAACCTGCTGTTTCCCTCTCTGTTTCTCTCTTAGACTAGACTCTAAATCATTGTCTTCATGCCCACACAGCCATTAATAGGACTTTTATCAAAGTTATTCTGTTGCTTTTGCAGTGCTCCATGTGCACGAAAGGCAGTGATTTACCATATTTTATACATTTTACTTGAGTTTGAAACCTGCAAGATATGTGCATCCTTTGACTGCCATTACCTATTGAAGCCTGTAGAATATGTTACTTAATGGAATCAATGTAGTCTTGTGTTTATTTTAAAGGGTTTTATTTATTCATGGTTGCTCTTTGTCCACTTTGTCTACTGAAGTAAAACAACTAACAAACCATACACCGTACTGGACAAATTGTGGCCTGATGATGGCACAAAGAAAAAGTCAGTGTATCTCCAAAGTCATTAGAATTAATCCTCCGGGGATGCTGAATATCTGTAGCAAGTTTCACAACAATCCATCGAATAGTCGTTGAGATATTTCAGTCTGGACCAAAGTGGTGACACTGCCATAGAGCCAGACTGCTAGCATGGCTAAAAACCAACAAATCCTCTCTGTTGCAAAGCTTTATCCAACAAATGTTTGGTATTTTTCCACAGTAAATGACTAAACATATTGATTTTCATTATATAGTTATAGTTTATATAGAGAGATGACAGGAAATGAGGACAGAGAGATTACATGCAACAAAGGTTGGACGTGAACCAGGGACTTTGCAGGTCCTGCTTGGCACCTAAACCACTCCAACACCAGGGTTTGATTTTTTAAAACTTAGTTCAATCAACTAAGTGCATCAACATTAATCCTCACAGAAAAAGAAACATTATGCATAATTATTAAGCAAGCTTGACTTGGCTGAGATGGTACAGTACAGACAGGCTTTGCCCAGAGCTGAAGCGGTGTTTTCTTTTGACATCCAGGGACTTGAATTCTCTTTAAAAGGCTCCATAAGTTCAGCTCAGTATTTGTGCAGTTATGATAATTTTGGAAGAGTGATGTCACTTTTATGAAACGGCTGATGCCTTATTTTTGGAAGGGAAAAACATCCTCACTTTAAAATGCAAATATTCCTGGGACACCGTCCAGTATTTTATAGCGTTGTAAGTTCACTGCTGAGCCAACGAGCCGGGCTCTCGTCTGTCCGATGATGAAACACAAGCCCACCATAGTTGACTAAGCCGCTGAGACCTCTGCTTTCCACGACACTAGTTTTGTTTCGGGGTTAAAGGAAAGTTTGGCTCGGAAAAAGTCTTTTTTCCATGCCAACATTCTCGGCATATTGGCTCCAGATCTAACATCTGCGATTAGATTTATTGGTATATTCCTTTGAAGACATTTTTAAGAAATCTGTTTCATTTTGACACGTCTCCAGTGACTGACCACTCATAAAACGGTTTTGTAGAGGACGACTGGTGCTCAGCATGAGCTGTAACCTGCAATTTAACCGGTTGTACGGTTTTATTTGAGCAAAGTGTTCTGAATCTTTGGAAGGTTTCTGTGGTTTGTCCCCATTTTGTTGATTTCCTTGGCAGTTCAGCCGGAGAACTCGATGAACTCGCGATTGCGCCCCTCCTTCTCCGATGCAGAGAAATCCCTCCCACCTCGAAACATCAAGGCCACTGCTCCCAAATCAGTAAAAGGTGTATTATTGCTCTAGCAGATCCTCTTCTGTTCGCCGATGCATGATTGTGACCCTGTAATTCAGTGAACGGCTGCCCTCGTCACTGCTGTCACCAACTGTGCCACAAGGCTGCTCAGTAGCACGTGTTTGTTTAGTCTGCTTTCATACTCCACATCTTCCCCGCACTGAATAAAAGCTCCTATTTCGCTTCAATCCTCTATTGTTTTACTGTCTTGTAATGTGTCAGTGCCAATTAACCAAGTCTTAACTCGTTGAGCAGCTGTTGTTCTTGGAGAATGAAAAACGTTCTGATCTCCCCGAGCCCAGACTCCTTTATAAGCGTGTCTGATTGTCTCCACATTTTCCGGTCCTTCACCTCACAGAAGAATGCCTCAGTGTGACTCCGGCTAAATTACGTTAGGAGGAGGAATGACAACCACGCAGAAGGAGACACACCGATGTTTTAAATCTTATAGAGTGGTCAGGCGGAGGCGTGGACAGATTATGAGACAATGGGTCCCTTGGTACAGACGTGTAAAAGGCCCTCGAGCTCTCCAATGTCGGAGCGAGACACCCAGAACCGTTTCTGTAACATTCTCTCAGACTCAAAAGACACAAAAACAGCTTTACTTTTAGTCTGTTTTTGGTCGTTTTGTGTCTCTTTTTTTCCATTTTATGTCTCTTTGTGGACATTTCTATTACTGGTCTTGAGTCTCTTAGTAGTTGATGTCTTTGTAGTTGTTTTTAGTCTCTTTGTGTTTGTTTAGTGTCTCTTTATGGACATTTTAAGTTATTTTGTGGTAATTTTGTCTCTTTGTGGACATTTCTATGTTCCTTTGTGGTCTTTTTGCTTGATTACTTTATGGACATTTTAGGTCTCTTGTTGTCATGTCGTCATTCTGAGTCTGTAGTTGTTTTGCATCTCTTTGTTGCAATTTTTCATTTCTCATTTGATTAACTTTCCAACAAAGAATATTGATTATGACTTCATACAGAGACTCTGGTTATGGAACCCCCTACTCCTTCAGGTCCCTGGGCCTGTGCCCAGTAGGCCGGTTTAGTACTTCCTCCATGGGCTAAGGGTCCTCAAGAAAGGACTCTTTGAATGAAAAAGAAGAAAGAAGAAATGTATAACACAGAACCGATGCTGCCAAGAGTTGCTATTTTTCTCCATTTGAAGGCAGAATGGCTTTAGATTGGCTTTAATCTGTCATTTGTATGTAAACATTACATAATCGCCTTGTCTGTCTGTTTTGCACTTATCATACCTCAAAACATGCTTGCATACACACGTTTGCGTCGTGTGTGCTTTGAGTTGGATTTAATGTTTTCCCATATGTCCCAGTTAACACATGGCTTAAAGTCTTAGTGTTTGCAACAACTAAATGATTCACATGTTAACATCCGGGCATTACATTTTCATTTCATAACGCACGTTCCTACAGGCCTGATGTTGCAATCATTAATCCTGAACCTCTCTTCGCCCTCAACTTTATTTATGTACCATGAAGGCGAGTCATGAATTGAATGCTGTATTCTTCAATCTGCTTGCAGTAAGTTAACGGTTTTGAGTTGTGTCTGTCCACGCAGGGCGAGACGATGGGCTGCATAAAGAGCAAAGAGGACAAAGGCCCTACAATGAAGTATCGGCCAGAAAATTCCACGGTGTCAGACCCCAACGCCACCGCCACCACGCCTCACGTAGGTCACTACGGACCAGATCCCACCCAGCTGCAGCAGAGTCAGCCTCCCGCCTCCTCCTCAGGCTCTGGGGCTGTAAACTTCAACCACACCCTCACACCGTTTGGCGGCTCCTCGTCTGCCATGACTCCCTTTGGAGGGGCGTCGTCCTCCTTCTCTGGTCCCGTGTCCAACTCCTTCTCTGGCGCTGTCTCAAGTGAGTAGTGTTGTATTATAAGATGTATGTATGTACAATGCTGATAACGATATCACTGCTCAGTATTCATATTCAGTACAGAGGTTTTGGGGTTTTATTTTTTAAATGTATTTTTCTTATCTTCCAAGCGGCCACTTGTAATCTCTGTATTCTTCAATCTGCTTTCTGCAGTAGTATTCCCATAATGCTGTATGGTACTAAATCTTTAATATATATTTTTTTTACCATGGACGTGACTTGCTGCAGATGTGTAATCCATCATGTTTTTCATCATTTTAGTCATGCTAGTAGCTTGGCTATAGAGCTGGTGGTCAGCTGGTCCCCCGTGGGAATGAATCCGACTGACTTTGGTAATCCCAAATATTATTTATATCACCGACGTGTGGTTGAAATTTGTGGTTTTGAGTGAAATGACTCGACAACAACTAGATGGGTTGAAATTTTATGCATACATTTATGTCCCCCTCGGGATGAATTATAATACATTTGGTTGGTTTATTACCTTTTCATCTAGCACCATCACTTAGTCTGAAACTGGTTTATGAATAAACACCATCACCCTCAGCTCTATTTTGTGTTTAGTGCTTATTATCAAACGTTTGCATACAACATGCTAAACTAAGATGGTGATGATGGTAAAAAAAAATACCTGCTAAACATTAACATGTTAGCATTTTGAAAATGCTAGCATGCTGACATTAGCATTTGGCTCAAACTTTCATCAGTTTTGTCATTTTTCTTGTGTGGCACATGGCTTGTCTAACCAGTCTGCACATACAACTGCAGGGCCACACTACAACAAGGACAAAAATATCAAAACTAGAAACATACATAATGTTAACTGCAAAATGAGTAGCCTCTAAAACACATACAAACGCATGCAGAGCAGAATGGTCAGCAGTAACGTAAAGTAAGAATTATTTCTATTACAGTTAACAGTAAATGGGATAAAACATGCAAACATGCTTAACATTGAGCTTAACTTGATCAGCGTGCCGATCCGACATGTCATGTTCACAGCTAATGCCTCAGTCGTTGTTATTTCAACTGTTTAACAACGGTCCTGCTATCAGCTGTGGTCACTACAAATGTGCCTGAGCAGCTTACAGTGATCCTGAGAGCACAGAGATGAGATTGAACCCTCCTGTTTAGGTGGGATTTAGGATGTAATCCTCGACCATTTTGGATTATCTGATCTCAGAGGGAGGGGGGGGGCGAAGGTGACACTGCTGTGGTGTTTGCTTTCTGCGGGAGATAATGGGATTACTGTTGACAGCATTGTTGTCAGCGGTGGGTATATGAATGTCATCTGTCTGCGAGTGTGGCTGCACAGTCGGCTGGCTGTTTTACAGGATGTTGGCACAGGACGGGAAGATGAGTTGACTTCTGCCACGATTTACTGAACTCTTGCCTTGTAATGTTTCATTTGAGTTCATGTTAACAGTTATTGCCAAAAACACGTTTGATCATGACAGTTATGACCAGTCTTTTCAATTAAAAACTGGTTTGATATATCGACTTTCCTCCGGCTCGTGTCTGAGTGTCTGTCTAGTCACAGTCAGTGATGTAGTATGCATTATAGAATTATAAGCCAAAGAAAATCAATAGAGTATGAGCTCTCAGACGTTGGCGAGACAGATTTATTTTTAACTGGCCTTTAAACAGTCAAGCATAAACAAACCTGTTGTGTCCTGATATGCCCCCCCCACCACCACCCACTGCAGTGTTTCTCAAATGGGCGTACGCATTCCCCTAGGGGTACTTTGAAGTACTGCAGGGGGTTTGTGAGATTAAAAAAATCTCAGTCATACATAATTCCTTATATTGAATATTCCTGATGGTTAACTGCAGTAAAACTTCACAGAAGAAGAAGACGAAGAAGGAGGCAACAAATCCAATAAACAACAATCATGTTCACGATGATGTTTGTTCACTGTGAGCCTGTTTCGGTATTGAATGACATACAAATTCAAGGTAATGGATTTGTGGTGGAACAAAGCAACAATACAGCTGAAAACAAAGAAAGCGAAAACAGAGCCAACAAAAGCAAAAGAAACAGACTGCGCCACTCCCTGCCACCGAGAATGACAAGGATCTTCAGTGAGTCATGTTTCTCACTAAACTGTAAATGCAGCTTATCAAGAAGACGCAGTTCAGTGTAACTGCAGTGTCATCTTAGTGTTATTGCATGATGATGATACACACAAGTGTTTTTTTTTTTAATTTACAAGGTTGTTAAATAAATCAGACGCCGTGTTATTCCTCTTTATATTGGCTTTGTTTCCATCACGAATGTTTTGCTCTGCGTAGGGGGTACAGTAATGAAAAAAGTTTGAGAACCGCCGCTCTACATCATTGTGCTATTATGCGTTTATTCCCTTTAATAATCTTCTCGAGGCATTTATTCATCACACGTGGGTCTGTTTTTGTGTTTTCAGGTGGTGTTACGTTCTTTGTGGCCTTGTATGACTATGAAGCTCGAACATCAGATGATCTCTCGTTTAAAAAAGGAGACCGCTTCCAGATCATCAACAATACGTAAGCGTGTTCTTAGTTTCGGTTTATGTTGAATTTATCTAAATATGTCTCCATGCAGGTAGTTCAGCAGCGATTACCAGATGCCTCTCTTTCACGCCGTATTCCCGAACTGCACCTGTTACCTTGTGTATTTGAATTCATGAATGAGTTTGATTGCGACTTGTTTCCTCATGCTGGCTTTCTGCACAGTGCCGGGGATCTTTTATTTGATTCATGCTCTGGCAGAGATGTCGCCTGAGGTTATAGCATTGTAATGTAAAGTAGATTAGTCTCATTCAGTCCCCATTGCGACAGTGTTTTCCAGTCCCGGATTCATATGTTGAGGGCTTTTTTCCAAATCTGGAGGTTTAAATGAATCCAGAACTTAAAAGTGAGGCTGATTTTAAACCATTAAAGCCTTAAATTATTAACCATTAACCATTATTACCTGGTCTTCACCCAGCAGTGTCAATCAAGGCAGGATGTATGAGTACGAGGCCTTGGTTGACTGTTAAATGAACGAGCCATTTGTCTCACCTCTCCTGTGTCATTGTCCTCCTGCAGAGAAGGAGACTGGTGGGAAGCTCGCTCCATCAACACGGGGAGGAAAGGCTACATCCCGAGTAATTATGTGGCCCCTGCTGACTCCATCCAGGCTGAAGAGTAAGGCCTTGTTGCTGCTTCTTATAACCTCATTATCTACTGCGACTGCATTAGGAGACTAATAACGCTAGCATGAGCTCATCTCACGTGGTTTGCAAAAGTCCCAGTATTAACAGCTTCACAGCCCGGATGAAGCTTCATAATGTGATTTTGATGTTCTGAGCAACCACATCTAGTAAAGCTGTTACTGGTTTTCAACAGTCAGCTTCTCAGTCACCTCTTGCGTTTTGAACTTGGCAGGGGGTTTTTTTACGTATATGCTTTCTCTTGATAGGTGGTACTTTGGTAAAATGGGACGCAAAGATGCTGAGAGGTTGCTGCTGAATCCAGGGAACCATCGAGGAACTTTCCTGGTGCGAGAAAGTGAAACTACTAAAGGTGACCATCGCTTCTTCATAAACATTTTCTGCGTGGGCAATGTTAGCCTAGTGGCAGCTGGCGAAAATGTCTCGTTCTTTGATTAAAAAGTCAAAGGTTACAACCACTACAACTCCCAATGAGCATTTGGGAATTAAACCTGCAGCCTGCAATATATTTTTATTTAATAGAGCAACGTTTCAATCTGAGATTTTCAGTGCCTGACAAAGAAATTAAATTTATTGGGAGCTATCGGTGCAGTTTGCTGATCTTTTGTCTGCTCACAGTTTGTTTCTTGATGCAGCGCCTCTGAAGTGGTTGTGAATTTTGTTCTGTGGAGTATTTAAAACCAATTCTCCACACCAGACTGATGGGAGGAAAAATATTTCCTCAGAAACAATGAGAGTTTCTATGTCGAGGAGAATAAAAGACATCATTAAAAGACAACTGGGAATTTCCAGTGGTAAAAAAATGGTCACAGAACCAGCGTCTCATCCTACTTCACAATTCTGGCACCACTCGGTCCAATCATTGGCGCTTTTGTTTAGCTGGATGAAGAACATTTCCCTCGTCTCCTCCAGGTGCTTATTCTCTCTCCATACGAGACTGGGATGAAGCCAAAGGAGACAACGTGAAACACTACAAGATCCGCAAGCTTGACAACGGGGGATACTACATCACCACACGAGCACAGTTTGACACATTACAGAAGCTTGTCAAACACTACACAGGTATGTGCTATGTAATGTTCCCTGCTCGCTCTCTTTTTCTGTCTTTACCCATTCATTATTCATCTCAGTCTTTCATCACACCTTAAAATTACTCTCAGTGGCACCCGCTGCTCTGTGCTACCTGCAATAGGCCCCAGAGTGTTACCAAGGGAGATGAATAGCCTATAATTTTAATAACAATTGATGGTCTTGAGTGTCCCTACTCATTTGCAGCCTGAGGAGGGTTGAGGTTAAAAATCTGTGATCCTACTTCCTTTCAGTCTGACTCTGGAGAGGGTTTTGGTGTGTTAGAAAGCCACTTCATCTCATTTATATTTCATCAGAGTTAGTATAAGAGTACAAATTCATCCACATCAAATGGAATGAATTGATGCATGAAAGAGGACCGACTTTAAAACGCTGTACCCCGCTGGTTGAAAGACTCATGTTGGTGTGTGTGGCACTGCTGGGTGTAATGTAACGTTTTGATCTCCACGTCTCGCTTTATCGCAGAGCACGCCGATGGGCTTTGCCACAGGCTGACCACCGTGTGCCCCACGGTCAAGCCTCAGACCCAGGGGCTTGCTAAAGACGCCTGGGAGATTCCCCGGGAGTCCTTGCGACTGGAGCTCAAACTGGGCCAAGGCTGCTTTGGAGAAGTCTGGATGGGTAAGAGCGAGACAGATAAGACACGCAGGAACATGTTTGGAAAATTCTTTCTGGTGTCATGTATTTGATAAGTATTCCGTTGTAATTATCCAGATAGGGAAATGCAGACATTATGTGCATAAACCAAACACATACAAACACTCTGAAGCCTATATTTATTGTGTCTATATTTGTCCAAACTTGGGAATTATCCACTTCCTGCAGTTGCTTCCTCTGTTTGTTATATTCTGTCTATCTCCAGAGGTCGTCTCACTCAGGAGGACAGCTCCAGCCAAATTTATTTGTTGCTTTGTGAACTGTGAGCTCGTATCCGCTCATCCCAGGGATTTTTTCGCGAGGAGTGCATGCATGACAGCACATGTCTGAGCAATTACAAGACCTAATTAATGATATTGTCCTGCTCCCACCCCATTAACAACACTGATTACCCCTGCGGCTTGTGGGTTTTTCTCTCCCTATCTTTCTCTTTGCAGGCACATGGAACGGTACCACTAAGGTGGCCATTAAGACACTGAAGCCGGGCACCATGTCACCTGAGGCCTTCCTCCAAGAGGCTCAGATCATGAAGAAGCTCAGACATGACAAACTGGTGCCTCTGTACGCTGTGGTGTCTGAGGAGCCCATTTATATTGTCACAGAATACATGGCCAAAGGTACAGGGCAGATACTTGACACATACCTGAAAAAACCTATAGCTCCATACTGGCATATTTGATTAGCAATTAAAATGATTTTCTGAGAACTCTCCCTGGAGAATAACAAGACTCAGCTGTTTCCTGTTACATGACACTGATGAGGTCTATTTTTAAAGGAAAGCAAAAACAACATTCAAGCCTCAGCCTGTAGACTTTTCAGGCACAAAATTGATCACGCAGCCTTGGTTTTTTTCTGACACGGCACTGATGTCAGCTATACGCATGGTGCTTTCCTTAAAGGAGAAATGTAAATTTTATGGGTGTTTTAATTAATATGCTGTACGGATTGAAAGTCCTTGAAAGTCCCTTGAGGTTCCCCAAGGCCTGAATCTGGGATGTTTAATTGAAAACTGCAGTAGTTTTGTGGGAGGTTTTCATAGCTTCAGCTGCAGTGCGTTTTTTTTTTTGTTTTTTTTTCAGGCTTTTATGAGTAATTAGATTTATGTTTGTGTAAATGTTAACTCTATGACATTTGCCTCGCTGTGCTGCATGCATGTATAAATGTCTGCAGTTTGCTGATCCACAGTTTTCTAGGATCTCACAGCGCGACGGCTGTAGTATTTTCCACAGTTCCTCTACACTACTATTCATGCAGAAAATACTTAATCTGATCTGGCAATAAATGAGAAGATGTCACTATGAATCACATACCAATTCACAGCTTTAATTTAATATTCAGTTTAATTTTCCAATCAGGTGTGGCGAGGAAGGAGGGCTTAATTGAAATATTTAACATTTCATATAGTAGCACATTGGTATGCAGGTTGAGTCACAGTCCTTTTATTGCTCCTACAGTATATCACGGCTGCATTTATGACTTCTCACTGTCGCTGTTTTTATAGGAAGCTTGCTCGACTTCCTCAAAGAGGGTGACGGCAAATTCCTGAAGCTTCCCCTGTTGGTGGACATGGCTGCACAGGTGAGACTAACCACAAATACCTGTTTTTTGTTTCACGAGTGCATAATTTCGTGTCAGTGAATTGTGCTTTTTAAGTTTTATTTTAAGCCTCAGATTTTAAAAAAAGAACGACAGCCTCGGGTAAACATGTCTTCCTCTCCCAGATTTGGCACACTTTGCTTTTGTTCTTTCGTTGTTAGCCTCATCTTCATGCCTGACAGAGGGCTTGATGTTCTGAGCGCGAGAAGCTAAAAATTATTTGCTGGAGCGGCCGTCATGAGACGCTGTCAAATGTTTTCGCTTTTAGATCGCTGACGGCATGGCTTTCATCGAGAGGATGAACTACATCCACAGGGACCTGCGCGCTGCTAACATTCTCGTGGGCGACAACCTGGTGTGCAAGATCGCCGACTTTGGTCTGGCCAGGTTGATAGAGGACAATGAGTACACGGCGAGGCAAGGTGGGTACACACACACACACACACGTAGACTGTGTGAGTCACAGGTGAAAGAGGTGTCAGGGTGGAAATGGATAGAGCAGTGACCTCACAGCAAGGACGACTCCCTGTTGTCTCCTATCATGGTGAATTAGGATAATAGTGGAAACCAGATGCTCCTGTTCAATTTGATTAGTTGCGCTTTTCACACGCTGGGAGAACTCATCTCACTCCCATGGGCTGGTCTCACCCAAATTACTAAAACAAATCTCACTTACCTGTAGTGGTATCTAGCTATGGGGACTATTTTGGTCTTATTTACCCACGTTTTCAGATTTCTGATTCAAACCTAATTCAGTGGAGGTCTCAGTATCGAACAAAACAGTACCCGACAACAAATTCAAATCCACAGATGTGAGGAATTTACATAAAGACTGCATCTTCACAGCAAGATTTGTGAATGATTTAGCATTACCAAAACATTGTTTCTGGAAAGACACGTTGATTAATTGCATTAGCATAATTTCATTCACTCCCCCCCATTGTACTAGAGTGGTGGCAGAAATAAACCTGAGCACAAAACGAAACAAGACAAAAAGGACCTGTATCCAATAAGCATTTATGGATCTGTATCCAGATTTGTATTTCATTTCATAAAAAACCAAAACAAATGTATCACCATCCTGGTTATAACTGTATGGTTAGATACTGTGGCGTCTGTGGGAAATAACTGCTCACTGTTTTATAGATGTGGTAGTTCTGTGCTTATGTTTACCATTACTGATTTATTGCCTTTATATGATGACTCAGAAACATTTCCAAATAACATATTGTCTTGCTAGGACGTGTGGAAATCCACTCTAGTGATTTAATGTGGGTGAACTGACCATTTAAACACAAGATCCTTAATAATGTCCTTTAAACTAAAGTGTATCTTAAATCTGGAGTTCTCTCAGGGTGCATTTATAAGCCTGCGTGGACGTGAATACCAAAACATGATGTGATCTTAATGATGTCATTGTGGGTCACTATGGCCATTGTGATTTCCGGGAAACAAGGGCTGAGATGAAGGCATACGCCCTCTAGTGGAATCACCTCACCCCTCTCCTCTCCGTCACACACAGGAGCCAAATTCCCTATTAAATGGACGGCCCCGGAGGCGGCTCTGTACGGCCGCTTCACCATCAAATCAGACGTCTGGTCCTTTGGGATCTTACTCACCGAGCTTGTCACCAAAGGCAGAGTGCCCTACCCAGGTAAGTGACAGTGACATACCGGATGTGGAAAAAAACAAAGCATCCAAGGTGGAGCGAGAGGGCGGTGATTCACGGTCGGAGTTATCAGCTTTCAGTCTGTCAGTAGACGTCAAGCTGGCGTGCTTGTTAATGTCGGAGGATGAAGTGAAGCTGTCTGACATTGTCTGTGCTGGTTGTTTATGCCTCTGCAGGGGTAACAGTGACATCCACACACACACACTGATATCCTTACACACACATACACACATTTGAGATTAGATGAGACCATCTGGTGGAGGACGATCAGGAGATTGAACACCACTCTTGTTTATAACCATCTGCCAGACTGATATTGCCCTGGGGAGCAGTGCCTGCAGTGTGTTGCACCACCTTCACACAGCTCCACTTCCTTTCAAATGTAGCGCTGAAACAACTAATAGATTAGTTTATTGACAGAAAATGAATAAAAAAAACAATTTGGATAGTTGATTTCAGTCACCATTTTGGGAAAAACATACAGTATATTCGCTTGCTTGCTGAAAACTAGATGAGAAGATCAATAAACTCTCATGTCTGGACACTAGATATGAAGCTACAGCTAGCAGCCCATTAGCTTAGCATCTCTACCTGTCATTTGTTCAATCTGCACAAAAACTGAAGCGTAAGAATGACAAGTTGTGGTTTTAGGCAAGATTATGTGCCGGACTATTTCTTGGCTTGGCTGCAATGAATTTGTGTAGCCATGAGGTTGCCAGGCAACAAACAGGGACTTCTTACACTTTTGTACGTGATAATTATTAATGTTTAGAGATGCTGGTAGGTGACATTGTTACCTTCAGACAGAGGCTAGCTGTTTCCCCCTGTTTCCAGTCTTTATGCTAAGCTAAGCTAACCGTCTCCTGGCTGTAGCTTCAAATTTGGTGAACAATGATGAGAGCAGCATCCACCCTCTCATCGAACTCTCTGCAAGAAAGCAAACACAGTCAATTTCCCAGAATCTAGAGACTATTCATATCATTTATTATTAAAAACGAACAAATATTTTGCTTGTGAGATAAGTCAATAAAGAAAATGACAGCCCTAATCTGATCTATAGTCTGGAAAACATACACATGAGCTCCTACGAGTTTCCTTATCTGACTGGTATTCCTCTATTTTCACTCTAGAAACCTAAAGAAAACAATTAATTAAAAGCTCTGACAGTCCTTTCTGCCTCCCGTCCCCCCCCTCAGGCATGGTGAACCGTGAGGTACTGGAGCAGGTGGAGCGGGGCTACCGCATGCCCTGCCCCCAGGGATGCCCCGAGTCCCTGCACGAGATGATGAAGGTCTGCTGGAAGAAGGACCCGGACGAGAGGCCTACTTTCGAGTACCTCCAGTCCTTCCTGGAGGACTATTTCACCGCCACAGAGCCACAGTACCAACCTGGAGAGAACCTATAGCCTGCCTGCTGCGTATCCCTACGCCTGGGAGCAGACTTGCTTAAAGACAAAGAAGACGTCAGCTCTTAATTAAGTCGCCTGGAAACCAACCAGTCGCATAAACCACTACTTGCTCTACCCATTCTTGATTTTTTATTTCTTTCAGCGTCCGCCACCATTTCATTTTCATATTTTATTTGTTTTCATACTGGTACTACGGAAGTCTTAGCTGTGTGAAATGTGGGTTTTTATCACTATGTACAATAATGACTGAGGTAACAAAGAAACATTTCTGTTTTTAAATACATGTTTCGATATAACACAGTGTGTTGCTGTGAAATAAGCTGTGATATGTAGCTGTGTTGAGAATGGCAGTCCAACTGTTATATATGGAGAGCTCACACTCCATTTGCCTCCAAATTGTACTCTTTTGTGGTGAATTGGTAAATTATGCATCAAAACGATTAATTATTAACAGAGATAATATATTAAACTAATAGGGAGAAGCTCTCAGGGGACTGGTTCTCATTATCACAGTACATTTGACAGTTATTTAAAAAATAAATCCCACACAGCTTAACTTTAGTTCATCAGCTACGGTGCAATTCTTTCTATGTGTGTTACAAATGGGCAACTAGAGTGAGACTGTGACATGGTCTTTTATGCTTTTTTAATCTTTTACAATGCATTTGTTTTATATTATGTTATTTTACGTTCCTTTGTTATCATAAAAATGTACTCATATCACATGGACATGGTTTTATAGCTTCGTTTGAAGACTTTTTCCATACTGTCCATCATCATCTTTTTTTTATAACAGTGCCATCATTCTTTCTGTCCCTCACTGCCCCGGGTTATATAATCTCACTGTGATCACTGCAGCCACATGCTTACATAAAGACAGCCTGTGTAACGTGACAGTGAGTTAAACAGTGATGGAACTCGTGGACTTGTGGCTTTTTGCCAGACCAAGAATGGCACTTCACGTGTGAAATGTCTGCCAAACCGAGGACACGGGATGATTTTAGTGGCTATAAAAACTCTTTCTAAAAGTGGAAATCATGAACAAAGCCGCCAAATAAGTTGGAAACAACCATTTTATCTTCTAAAATGTGACTGACCAAGAACTTGGGACTCTTTTTCGTGTTTATGTATCCAAGGTGGCTCTGTAAAGACCATTTATATTGCAATGATTACAGTTTTTTACAGTGATTTTATCTTTGCATATTGCTCCTGTATGGACTCATTGGGACAGTATTATGATGGGAATAACACCAATTGACGCCTGAGCTTGTAAAGAAGGGCTTTGTATATTATAAAAATCCTCATTTTATAAGATTATTAATAAAACGAGCAAGATTGCAAAATATATTTGGGGAGGGAGGTAGTGGGTGCAGACTCATCTGAGTGAATTTGTACAATAAAGACGTGATTTTAAACAGTCCAGTATTGGGGGGGTTTTTTTGTTTTGATTTGTCTCTTTAAATGTTCCAGGTGACTAATGTTTAAACCAATGACTGGCTGAGGTGGGTGGGATCTACTGATTCAATGCAACAGTGCCTTGAATCACAAGACAAGTGCAGTCTCAGCGCCAAAATGTTGCACAAAATTCTAAATTTGACAGTCAGGGATGTGAGATTCCCGACATCTTTGGAGCAGCACGGCTCAGATGCGATGGTGAGGACATTTCTGCAGTTTGTAGCAATAATCTGAATATATGTGTTGTGCTTACATGCATGAACTTGAAGTGAATGCCTCTGCAGCACACCGACCCCGATTATTCGGCCGCGTATGTGGTGATCGACACGGACTGCGGGTTGAAAGGCTTCGGCCTCACGTTCACTCTGGGGAAGGGGACAGAGATTGGTGAGATGTGTACATTGTGACACTGTGGCTTCATTACTCGACCACCACAACTTCACAAACAGTGTTGCTGCTGCGTTCAAGTGCTCCAAATAAGCTCCGAATTTCCACTTCCTGCATCGAGCTTCTTGCAAATTCCATGAATTGTACTTGTGAATTGGATTAAAGGGCTGTTGGTTGAAATAATGCACAGTGTATATATCAGCTAATTAAATTAAATACCCAATCCTACTGTGTAAATAATAAATGTGTCTTTTAATTACATAGTATTAAATATTAAAGACTCCCGCAGCTCTTACAACCAAAGCAATTTATAAAACATAAATAATACAGATACACAAATATATGTAATACTTAATAACAATAATAATAATCTGCATTTAAGTATTAGAAAGGTTTTCAAATTCTGATTCTATTTTAAAATAACTATTATTTTCTTACACGCTTGTGAAGTTGAACCTCACACCGCCACCTTGTGGTCATTTTTATTAAAGACAATACAACCAGTGTAAAGACTCCTACAGATAAAGTATGGCACATATATGAGTATAAATGTAAAACTGTTTAGAGGCTGACTTTAGTTGATTGTGACCCTGCAGTGGTGTGTGCTGTGGAGGCCCTGGCAGGACTGGTTGTTGGGAAATCCCTGCAGGAGATTGTGAGCGACTTCCGTGGATTTTACCGCCTCCTGACCAGTGATAGCCAGATGAGATGGGTAAGAACAAGTGCACAAGCAGTGAAAAGCCCATTACTGATATCAATATTTATAACAATCACAACAGTTCATACATAAATATCATATAACATAAAAAATAATGATTCACATCTTCTTATCTTGTCATAGATTCTTTAACTACATTTATTCTTATTCTTTAATAAGATATCTCTCTTCTGTCTCCTCATCTAGAACATTATAATTCATGATACTTAAAATAAAAGGCACATAAATCCTGTTTGGTTAGTAATTTCAAGTTTGAAATCATTCTGTATGTGATCATGGCTTGTTGCTGCAAGGTGCACTGCTGAAATGTTCCCATGTAATATTACTGGTACACACAAGTCCTCTAATCTAGTTTCTGAAGGTCCTAAAGTGCTGAGACGAGTAGATGTGAGGCATTCAGGATTTTTGAGTAGTCACAGGTGCGTGCAGAAGAGGTCCTTCTGATACAAAAAAGCCTTTTATAATGGGGTCTTAAAGTCCTGGTTAATAATACGTTTTAAAAATTCTGCCCACCAATCCTGTTTTAATTACAGTTTTTTTTTTTCTTACAGCAGGTTTTAATTTGGCTGTTTTTAACATTCTGCCTCTTTAATTTTGTTGCATACTCCAGTTAAGCATTTATTTTTTTCAGCACTACTCAAAATAGTTGTCAATGTTGACTTTCTAAACTCTTGTCTGAACCAGTTAGGCCCAGAGAAAGGAGTGACTCATCTGGCCACTGCTGCAGTCCTGAATGCTGTGTGGGACCTGTGGGCGAGAGCAGAGGGAAAGGTGGGACAGGCATTATTAGAAAAACACAATTTTCCCTCACAGGTATGATACTTCATGACTCACAACCCTGTTTGTCGTCATTTTCCTGCAGCCGCTGTGGAAGCTGCTTGTTGACATGGTGAGTCACAGGAAATATAGATGTTGGATTTATGTCCTGGATGTGATTGCAAGGGAAATAACATGTCTTATTTATGTATGTGTGTGTGTGTGTGTCAATTCAGGATCCCAAGCAAATTGTGTCATGCATTGACTTCAGATACATCACCGATGTGCTCACAGAGGATGAGGCTCTAGGTGAGACCGGTTTCTGACGTACAGTTTATGTCCAGAACAGTTTGGGAAAGAAATTTCTCTTATTTGTAAGTGCATTGTTACTCAAAGCAAGACACTCTTTCTGCTTCTCTTTTCTAATTCAGACATACTTGTGAAGGCACAGAAGGGAAAGCAGCAGAGAGGTGAGCACACTAAAAAGAGTCATTAATTACATAGCTGAATGGGGGTTTTGCGGAACGGAATTGCCTCTTTAGAAACTAACAGGAGTGCTTTTAGCCTTCATAATAGGCCCCTGCACTGCATGATTGCGCTATTAAAACACGCTTCTCCTCGAGTGTTTATTACCTGTGTGGACTGCTTCTTTCGCCTGCCAGAGGATCGAATGCTGAGAGAGGGTTACCCTGCCTACACCACCTCCTGTGCGTGGCTCGGATACTCGGACCAGCAGCTCAAACAGGTCTCTGTGCTATAAAATGCTTCTCATTTCTCTGGCTGGACAAATTATTCTCAAATAACCACGACGGTTGTGTGTTTCTGAAGCTCTGCACAGATGCACTGAAAAGCGGTTGGACCAAGTTCAAGGTGAAAGTCGGTGATGATCTAGAGGACGACATACGCAGGTGCCGCCTCATAAGGCAAATGATTGGAGCCAATAACACTTTGGTACGGTTGTTTATACTCCCGACCTTGTCTTTACACCAGGAAATAATGGTATAATAAAGTGTTTTTTTGCGTTAGATGATCGATGCCAACCAGAGATGGGACGTAGCCGAGGCCATTAGCTGGGTGTCCAGGCTGGCTGAGTTCAAACCGCTGTGGATCGAGGAGCCCACGTCTCCAGATGACATCCTGGGTCACGCTGCTATCTCCAAGGTGAGAGAGAAGTTTGATTTTACAGCTTGTGTTTGTGTGTTGAAGATGTGGAGGCCCCCCCATTCTTCAGTATAGTAAGGCCGGAGGACTCCTTTTGTAGTTGGTTTGAGTGTCTCTGTGATAATGTAGTCTCTTTTAAAGTTATTTTGTGGGGTTTCTTTTGTCGTTTTGCATCTCTTTGTAGTTGTTTTGTATGTCTGGTCATTTTGCATGTTTTTTTTAGTTGTTTTGGGTGTCTTTGTGATGATTTTTGTTTCTTTGTAGTCATTTTGTATCCCTTTGTAGCAATATTTCTGTTTGTAGTTATTTTTTAGTCTGTTTTTAGCTTTAGCAGCTCTTTGCCTTCTGGGCCCCTGGACCTGTGCCCTGTAGGCCCATTCAGTAATCCATCCATGGTTGAAGACTAATAAAAGATTTATTTTGTTGTTGCAGGCTTTGGCTCCACTTGGGATTGGTGTGGCATCAGGAGAACAGGTCAGAGCTCGAGTTTATTCTTGCATACGTATTGCTGCTGCTAATGAAATCATAGTTTCTAGTTGGGCAACTGTTTCCTCTCCAGTGTCACAACAGGGTGATGTTTAAGCAGTTCCTCCAGGCCTCGGCCCTGCAGTTTGTCCAAATAGACAGCTGTCGGCTGGGCAGCGTCAACGAGAACCTGGCTGTGCTGCTGATGGCCCACAAGTTCCAGGGTAAACCTCAAGGCATGACAACATGCAACACTCACAAGAGGAACATATGGAGCTCCAAAAGAGAGTTAGATAATACTGTTAAATAATTTAAAAGGAGAGATATATATATATATATATATATAGATATATATATATATATATATATCTATGTCTTTAATCTCCAAATA